GGCAGACACGAGCAGGGGAGGGGGAGAGGCAGAGAGAGTGGGAAACACAGAATCTGAAGCAGGCTCCAGGCTCTGAGCTGTCAGCACAGAGCCTGGTGGGGAACTCAAACTCTGGAATGGTGATGTCATGACCTGAGCTGAAGTCGGATGCTTAACTGACTGAGCCACCCAGGTGCCCCTGAAGTGATTTTTTTAAACTGAAAAACACAACTAAGGCAGTCCCAGCTTTTGAAAACTCATTTTGCTACTTACTGCATTTTCTCTTTCCAGAACATAGGGTCTGGGATAAACTGCACACAATGCTTTTAACTTTTCTGCGGGAGCAGGGAATAATGATCAGACAGCATCAGACACACAATAAAACATCTTTTATTGTAATATGTGCAGCATAAAATTTACCATTTTAACCATTTTTAACAGTATAGTTCTGGGTCATTAAAGGTCCCTTCACAAGGGCACCTTGGTGGCTCCATTGGTTAAGCAGCCAACTTCTGATTTTTGGCTCAGGTCATGATCCTAGGGTCATGAGATCAAACCCCAAGTAGGCTCAGAGCAAAATGTGGGGCCTGCTTAAGATTCTCTCTCTCCTAGGGCTCCTGGATGGCTCAGTCTGTTAAGTGTCTAACTTCAGCTCAGGTCATGATCTCGTGATCCATGAGTTTGAGCCCCGCATGGAGCTCTGTGCTGACAGCTCAGAGCCTGAAGCCTGCCTTGGCTTCTGTGTCTTCCCCTCTCTCTGCCTCTCCCTCACTCTCATTCTGTTTCTCAAAAATGAATAAATGTTTAAAAAATTCTCTCTCCTATTCCCTCTGTCCCTCCCTTGCTCACTTGCACGTGCTCTCTCTCTCTCTCAAAAAAAATAATTTCACATTGCTAGATAGCAGTCACCACCATCCTCTCTAGAACTTTCATCTTTCCAAAGTGAAGCTCTGTTCCCAGTAAACATGGACTCTCCATTCTTCCTCCCCCAAAGCCCCTGGCAAACACTATTTAACATTTTGTCTCTGGGAATTTGACTACTCTAAATACTTCAAGTAAGTGAAATCAGACAGTATTTGTACATTTGTGATTGGCTCATTTTACTTGGCATAATGCCCTCAAGGTTCATCCACGGTGTCAGCATCACCTTTATTTTTTCAGGCTGAGTACTATTCCATTGTGTGGCTATTTTACATTTGGTTTATCCATTCCTCATGGATCTTGGACTGTTCTTTTGACTATTGGGAATGTCACTATGAGAGTACAACTATGTTTGGAATTCATGCTTTCAGTTCTTTTGGTTGTATATACAGAAGTGGGATTGTTAGGTCATACGGTAATTCTATTTTTAATTTTTGAGGAACCACTATACAATTATCCACAGCAAATGCATCATTCTACATCCCACCAGCAATGGGCAAGGGTTCCCATTTTTCAGCATCCTTACCAATACTTGTTATGTTTTTTTATTATAGTCCTCCTAATGGGTGTGAAGTTGTAGTTCATTGTGGTTTTCAGTTATATTTGCATTAGATAGTTTTCATATGAAGGTGAGCTCAAAGCTCTTAAGGTAGCCTGCTAAACAAGGGTGACAGAGTGAGTGACACTCCATTAGGCCTCAAATTGGAAGCATCAGCAAAATCCAGAGCCATAAAACAAGTATGACCATGTTGGTGATTTGTTGCTACCTGAAGGCAGTTGATACTGGTTTGGACCAAGGGGATGCTCTCAAAGCAGAGAGGACCCAGAACAGCAATTAGCATCTTCTGGGTTAAGGCTCCTCTGAAACTTTATAATTAGGAAACCCATCTCTTAGAGCTTTCAAATCCCTAAGACTCATCTGAGGGCTCCAGACTAAAGACTCCTGATGGAGGACCAGCTACATACACCGTGTCCTTACTCACCGTAAGGTTGCTGTTCTTTGTATCAAAACTGCACTTACAAATAGTCCAGACACAAAAAGATAAATACCATATGATTTCACTTCCATCAGGGACCTAGAAATGTCAAACTCTTAGAGGCCTGCAGGAAAATGGTGGGTGCCAGGAGCTGGGAGAGAAGGAAATAGGGAGTTAGTGTTTAACAGGTACAGAACTTGGGTTTGAAATGACAAAGTTCTAGAAACGGATGGTAGTGGTTGCACAGCAGTCTAAAGGTACTTAATGTCACAGAACTATCTACTTACAAATGGTTAAAAATGGTGAATTTTATGGTATGTATGTTTAACCACACACATAAACTGTATTAAGGTCAAGACTGAGAAATATTTTCTCCTTCACCCTCTTTTCTGAGGGAGCCCTGAGGCTGATTTAGATCAAATTGCTAATCCGTAGAAGAGGTTAGTCATCTGTGCAACAATAATATGTCGAGAGCCTGTAGGTATAATAGTGTCTCTTCTTCCTTGAAGGGAGAAGAAAGCGGTACAGTATTACCAGCCCTGGAGGAAGATTGTGAATTCTTAAACCAATTAACAAAAAATTACCAAGGCCCCATGACTTCTAAACCAAGGACCACACCCTAATGGGTAACTTCTTTAAGAACCTTCTAGATCTTGGCATGCCACAGGTGTAACGATTTTAAACTGAATGTTAATAAAATTTTCAACACATTCGCCTCCATCTGTCAAAAAATGCCGTTAAACCACTTGCATCTATCTTAAAGATGTGGAATTCATCTCCTGAGAACATATGGTTTAGTGGTTACCTTAAAGGATCTTAAAGGAAGACACTGAAAACAGAATAGTCTTATAGCTATTTAAGATAAATTTTGACCTGTAGACTTGATTTAACCAGTAATTCTTATATCTCTTTGCCTTTCCCTTTTCATGGAATGCCTTGTTAATACAGAACATTCTTCAGGGAAAGCTGTGGGTGATGGTTAAAAGGAGAGAGAGTGGGCTGGGAAGGACCTAAGACCATGATACTAGGTAGTGTTGTGATGGATGTGGGATATGCTTTGAGGATTGGACTTGATTTGTTTGAGTGTAGAGATTGGATCAAAATCTATTGTGGTCTGAAGCATCACACCATAATGTCATGCCTGAAGCATGTCTTCACTGGTCCTTGATAAGTGAGGAAAGATATGTGGGTGTCCATCTAAAATACTGCTGGGGAGCACCTGGGTATCTCAGTTATGCATCTGATTCTTGATTTTGGCTTGGGTCATGATGTGGTATCAAGCCCCACATTGGGCTCTGTACAGATAGTGCAGAGCCTGGTTGGGATTCTCTCTGTACCTCCCTTGCTCACACATTCTTTCTCTCAAATATAAAAAAAAAAATAGGGGTGACTGGTGGCTCCATTGTTTAAGAGTTTGACTCTTGATTTTGGTTCAGGTAATGATTCCACAATTTCAGAATCAAGCCCTGTGTCAGGCTCTGTGCTGACAACACGGAGCCTGCTTAGGATTCTTTCTCTCCCTCCGTCTATGTCCATCTCTCCCCCTTCTGTCCCCCCATCTCAATGAATTAATAAGCTTAAAAGAAAAACCTTAAAAAAATTACTCCTAAAGACCATGTTCTCATAAATGTCTCATTTAGTGGTGAGAACAAAGTTATGATTTAGTGGACATTAGATCTTCCAATGAACATCCTCATCAACTTTTGGCATGACTATGACCACTGCTGAGGGCTATGTTCGTGGGATGAGATCTCTGGGGTTTTTCTCTTCTACATGGAAATGGAGGGGACCCAGGAGACTCCTTTTCAACTCCCTCTTTATTTCATCAGCTCAGGCGATCCTAGCTTGACACATCTCTGGCCAAGGACTTTGAATTTTAGACCTAAGGACTGAGCATGGAAGAAACAAATAGCGGGAGAGCATTCACTCACTACAGTGGCAGGGCCTTATGCTCCAGTGTAGTGGACATTCTCCATGGTTACCTGCTTCTCCAAGGCTTCTTTGTAGTCCTCTCTGGTCTCCCATACTCTTAGAATAGATTGTCTTTTTAAGTGGCCAGAGTTAGTTTGGGTTGCTTGCAACTAAAGAATCTTTACTGATACACATAGGGTGAAAAACTAAACCATAATGAGTTATTTAAATCCAAAAGATCTATTAATTCCCATTCTGTCTGGACATTATATAAAATTTGAACTTTAAGTTAAAAATAGTGTAAAAAATATAACCTAAATTGTATATAAAATACTATAGTGTATAATAGTTCTATATTATATATAAAATATATATTTTAATTAAAAACAAAACCATGAATGGAAAAATTATCCTACCATCCCAACACAACTCCTTTGGATTGATTATTTTTAAGTAATCTCAGTGCCCAGTGTAGAGTTTGAACTCAAGACCCTGAGATCAGGGCTTTACCAATAGAGCCAGCCAGGCACCCTATCAACACAACTGTTTTTATGTTTGTATTTTCCCTGCCATTTTGAGTCCACATATACATATTTTTTATCTGATTGGATCAGCTTTTTTCTTTTTTCATGTTTATTTTTGAGAGAGACAGAGTGTGAGTGGGGGAGGGGCAGAGAGAGAGAGACAGAATCTGAAGCAGGCTCCAGGCTCTCAGCTGTCAGCACAGAGCCTGATGTGGAGCTCAAACCCAGAAACCATGAGATCATGACCTGGGTCAAAGTCGGACACTAAACCGACTGAGCCACCCAGGTGCCCCTCTTTTTCAACATTTTAAAATGCTATCTTTCCCCTCCTCTCAGAAGACTGAGGTTGAGGGAAAGGCAGAAGGTGAGGTAGTTTACAAAAATATTTTGAGAAAACTCTTTAATGAAAGAAATTTGAAACCCTGTTGAAGTGAGTCACAGTTGCCCAAATGGTCTGACCTTGTTGGCTCAAACTACTACTAGCTTCTTTTCTCCCCTTCCACTTAACTATATTTTAACTAAAATTGCATAACAAAGGAGCATTTGTAGTTTAAAGATACTGATACCAATTTGTCTAGTAAGATTTTAAAACGAGCTATCTGCCTATTGTACATGGCTTGGGTGCAAAGAGATGGTATTAGTCACCTTCTGGCTAGGTGCCCATGTGCTTGAACTCCGTGTGTTGGGATAACTGGCTGGGCAACAGACAGAAAGAAGGAGTAACTGACTCTGTCAGCTTTACGATATAAAAGCTGAGTTGGAACAACTCTCTTGCATTTATGCCAAGTTTGTCATGTATAGAGGGAATGCAATTTTCTTGGTCTACCATCTGTTACCTATAATTTACCTGTTGTCTATTTTCTTGAAACATGGAGTGACCATTTTTAATGATAGCACAGAATATTTTAGGTACAGTAGCAAAAATAACTGGACCTGGAGTTGTGAGCTATGGATTCCAGTCCTGGCTTTTTCTTTTTCTTTTCTTTTTTTTTAAGTTTTTATTTAAGTAATCTCTATGCCCCACATGGGACTCAAACTCACAATCTCAAGATCAGGAGTCACCTGCTCTTCCAACTGAGCCAGCCAGGTGACCCTGGCTCTTTTTCTAAATAATTGAAGCCTGGATAAGTTCTGCAATTTCTCTGCTTCTTAATGCTTCATCCCTCAATTCTTTTCATTCCTCTGGGCTTCCAGTTTTCATCTGCAAAATAGGGAGTTTGGGTTTGATAAATTAATAGTTGTATAATGTTTTCATATAGTTTATCTTATGTGCAATTCATACCGTCCTTGAAAAGTGAGTGAGGCAAAAACAGTCATCAGTCTCCAATGAAAGGAACTGGAGCACACAAGGCTATTCAACTTGTCCTGCATCTTTTAATTAGTGGTAGATCAGAGAATCATGTACAAACCCTGATGTATTAGTTAACTGCTGTATAATAAATTTCTCTCAAACTTAACAGCTTAAAAATGACTTGACTACTGCACATGTTTTTTTGTGGGCCAAGGGTCTGGAGACAGCTTAGCTGGTGGTTCTGACTCCATGTCTCATGAGATTGCATTCAGGCTTCTGTTAGAACTGCATTTTCATCTGATGGCTCAACTGGGGGAGGGCATGCTTCAAAATGCAGTTATGTCGTAGGTAGGAGGTTTCAGTTGTTTGTCCATGGCTGTTGGCTGGAGACTTCAGTTCTCTATCACATGGGCTTCTCCATAGACTACCTGAATCTCCTGACCATAGGACATCTTGCTTCTCCCAGAGCAAGTGATCTAAGAGTGTGTGTGGGAGAGAAAGAGTGTTCAAAACCGAAGCCACAGTCCTTTATAACCTAATTCGGAAGTGATACACTATCATTTCTGTATTGATTTGTATTTCCCTGATAAGGAGGGATGCTGAGCATAGTTTCATGTGTCTTGGCCATCTGGATGTCCTCTTTGGAGAAGTGTCTGTTCATATATTCTGCCCATTTCTTCACTGGATTTTTTTTCAGGTGTGGAGTTTGGTGAGTTCCTTATAGATTTTGGATACCAGTTGAGAACAAACTGAGGGCTGGTGAGGGGAAGAGGGGTGATGTGCATGGAGGAGGGCACTTGTGGGGATGAGCACTGGGTGTTATATGGAAACCAACTTGACAACAAACTATTAAAAAAAAAAAAAGACTATTGACAGCCAGAATTTGTGGATATTAGTTCTATTCCGGTTGCAACAAATGAATGTAAGAATAAAACACATGACATTCACGAGCTAATTGGACACTTGAACACTGAATGCAGGTTTTTTTTTTTTAAATTTTTTTTTTAATGTTTTATTTATTTCTAGGAGAGAGACTGAGACAGCGTGAGCATGGGAGGGTCAGAGAGAGAGGGAGTCACAGACTGAAACAGGCTCCAGGCTCTGAGCTGGCAGTCAGCACAGAGCCCGACGCGGGGCCCGAACCCGCGAACCGCGAGATCATGACCCAAGCGAAAGTCGGACGCTCAACCGACTAAGCCACCCAGGCGCCCCTACTGAATGCAGGCTTGATATGAAAGAAGCATTAATTTTTTTTAGGTTTAATCATATTAAGATTACATTAAAAAGTCCTTAAATTTCAAAGATATGTACTGAATGATTATAGATAGAATGATGTTGAAAATTTGTTTCAAAGTAACATGGGGTGAAGTGGATGAGAGATATATGGGGTAGAACTGGCAATGTGGTAATGGCAGGTGGGGCTGGTGATGGGTCCATGGTGGGTGATGATTATTAGGCCATTCTGGTTTTTTTCCTGTGAATATAGGAATTTCCAAATAACTAAAAGTTTTTTAAAAAGCTATTATAGGGGTGCCTGGGTGGCTCAGTTGGTTGAGTGTCTGACTCTTGATATTGGCTCAGGTCATGATCCCAAGGTTATGGGGTTGGGTTCTGTGCTGAGAGTGGAGCCTGCTTAAGCCACCCCCCACCCCCCGCATCTTCCCCCCTTTCCTTCTCCACTTGTGCATGCCCCCATTCTCTAAAATTAAAAAAAAAAAAAAAAACAGTTCTAAAAGCCATTATATCCTCTTACTCCACAAAGCTGATCATCTGGCCCTTCCCAACCCTGGGAGTAAACTCGAAGTTTGTTTTCTCAATTAGGTTAAAAAAAAAAGTGTACTTTTTTGGGCAAGGTTATATTGGACAAGGTTAAAAACAGATTCATGCTGAATACAGG